AATGCAAGGTCGCAGAGAGCCGTCCTTCTTCCCCACAAAAAAGAACCCCGCCCCCGCTGGAGAAGAAGAATGACGGATGAACCCAGATGCTAGAGAATCAGAAATATATTTCTCCATAGCCTCCCTCTCTGGGACAGAAAGTGAATATAACTTGCCTTTAGGCGGAGACTTACCTGACAATAAATCTATAGCACAGTCATAGGGACGATGAGGAGGTAGAGAAGCAGCACGAGACTTACTGAACACTTCCTTCAGGTCCAAGTACTCCACGGGCACGTTAGATAAATCCACTGCCTCCTCCTGAAACACAGAGACAGAAACAGACGAACAGGCAGACACAAGACAAGACTCATGACATCTACCACTCCATTCTAACACTGATTTCTTTAGCCAGTCGATTTTGGGGTTGTGTTCAGTTAACCAGGGGTGTCCGAGAACAATGGGTGCAAGTGGTGAGTCCATGATGTAAAAGGAACATGTCTCTGTGTGGTTTCCAGATGTGGTAAGTGTGATGGGTCCGGTGATGAGGGAGATGGTAGGAAGATCCTGACCGTTTAGTGCCTGAACTGCTATCCTACTGGTGAGTGGTAGAAGGGGAATGTTAAACCTCTGAGCAAAACCATGGTCCATGAAGTTACCTTCTGCCCCAGAATCCACCAGTGCCTGACAGTCGTGATTGTGGCCTGACCATCTTAGTCTTACCGGGAGGAGAGTCGATGTAGATGAGGTCTTCGCAGCGGAGATCCCACCCGACAGTAGCCTCAACCTTACTGTCGGGCTTGGCCTTTTACTGGACAGTTGTAGGCGAAGTGACCAGCGGCCCCGCAGTAAAGACATAGTCCTTGGGATCTCCGCCTCTCCTTCTCCTCCCGGGAAAGCCGAGCTCGCCCGACCTGCATGGGCTCGTGATCGTAGACGGGGCTGACCGCGTCCCCGCCGCTGGATCGTGGACTCTCAGCTCCTTCCCTGGCCCGATTCGTGGGCACTCTCCGTTCCACTCTGGATAACCGTGCGTCCACACGAAGGGCCAGATCTACGAGTCCATTGAGTGATGTTGGAAGATCCAGGGCGTAGATCTCCTTTTGAACACGGTCAGCCAGCCCATGCAGGAACATGTCCCACTGCGCCTCCTCGTTCCAGTGACACTCTGCCGCCAGGGTTCGAAACTCGATGGAGTAGTCTGATACTGATTTCTCCTCCTGTCGTAACTCTGCAAGCATCCGAGCCGCCTCTCTCCCGGCAACCGCCCTGTCGAAGACCCTCTTCATCTCGGCGGAGAGTGCCTGGAACGAGGCGCAGCATGGATCCTGGTTCTCCCACACCGCCGTTCCCCAGAGAGCCGCTTTCCCAGTCAGTAGTGTGAGCACAAATGCCACCTTCGATCCCTCCTGGATGAATGTGCGAGGCTGCAGGGCAAAGTGCATAGAGCAACGTGTTAAAAAAGCACGACAGAAACTTGGCTCACCATTGTAAGTCTGTGGGATGGGTAGGCGGGGTTCTGACTGGGAAGCTCCCTCAGGTGGAATGAGGGGAACGGCTGGTGCGGGGGGCGCAGTGGGAGCTCGTAGCTGTTGTATCTGCTGGTGAGCTCGGACACCTGCGCCACCAGTACTGAAACAGCGCGTCCCGTCTCATTGATGTTCCTCTCCTGGGTCTCCATGCGCTGAATGCTGGAGTTAACGAACTCTTCCAAGGGGTTTACCTCACTCGCTGCTTCCATTATGCGTCAGATCGTTCTGTAACGGCAAAAACCACAGAAGCAGTAATGCAAGTGATGGTGAATTTATTACTCAGTCCACGGTCAGATAAACACAAAGACAAGACTGGTGACGCAGGAACTAGATGGTCAGGGTCCAGGTGGTGAGTCCAGAAGTGAAGTGAAGTGAAGTGAAGATCCAGTTGAGGTGATGAAATCCACGGCAGTGATAATCCACACGAACACGAACAGGAACACGAACCAGATAAGAGTAGACACGCCGACAGGAAGGATCTTTACACATGCACACACGAAGGACATCAAACAACGATCTGACAATGAGAGGAGAAAACTGTGAGTATAAATAGGGGATTGAATGAGCTGCAGCTGGTGAGTGGATGATTATCAGCTGGAGTGCTGATCAGCTTGATCGCTGATCAGCAGAACGGAGTGGTAACGCCCACTCACACACACCCACACAGAGAACAACAGAAACACGAGACAAGAAGGAATCAATGAATTTATGAACCGTGACATGTGCACTAGGGTACAGTCATGCCGGAATAGAAAAGGGCTTTCCTCAAACTGTTTCCACAAAATCGGAAAATGCCAACATGTTCTGGAAAAATTAAGATTTCCCTTTAGTAGAAGAAAGGGGCCACCCCCTGACAGTTGGCAGTCAGGCAAGTAGCATACTCCTGCACCACTCCATCCAACACTTGGCATTATACTTGTTGATTTGAGGCTTTTGAGCATTTAGCTGCTCGGCCATGAAATCCAATGGGCTCTATGCATGGCTGTATTACCGGTGAAGGTCTAAGGATGCTGGATTACTTCCGCCGATCGTAAGGTCCAATGCTATACTGAGAATTTATATTGTTTTTTATACGCTATGGCTATACTAAAGAAACGTTAGTCACAAGTCAGTCAGTCGGTTGTTTATTATATTAAATAAACATAACTAAATATAAAATTACATGTAAAGGTTTTAAAGATTCGTTTCAAAGACGGGAGGACAATACATTTTGAAGACTCTGCCATAATCCTGATTTCCTCCGCTTATGCGTGCATATAGCCTATTCCACGTAGCTCCTGCCATACTTTTTTGTGCTGATATTAATGCCAGATATTACTGATATGAATTCTTTGTGCTGATATTATTGATATTGGAACACTTCGGCTATGGAATCAGCAGAGCGTTGGCGACTTTTACACACCATCCGGCTCAGCACTGGGTAACAACGCTCTGTGACTTTATTTGGTTTTCCACATTGTGGCTGGAGTTCCTATAGCTTCCACTTTCAAATAATAGCCTACCACTTTCAGTTACAGTTTTTCTCAATCGATTTGGTACATTTCTCCAAACTCAGGTAACTGCTCTCAAAACAGTTAACACAGCAAACTAAACACACTCTTATGTTGGCAAAACAGCTAAGTATTCGCTGCACAATGAAACACAGCATTTTATTCTAGTAATGCATTTATTAAAAATCAATATTAACATCAAAACTAAAAGTGTGTTCTCTGTTGATTTGATAACAAATTCAGCTGAAGATACACAAAGAAATAAATGGAAATACATGTTTTTTCATTAAGTTCTTTAATGATGAGTCCATGTGTATTACAATGAGTTGTCACCCCACAAAATAAATAAATAAATAAAATAACTTATGCAAAGAAATACATAGGTTTAAAAAAATGCATTCATTGAATCAATTTATTTATCATGCCTCTCAATTACATCTGGCCAGAGAATTTCATCAACATCACAGCAAATGTTTGTTTGTTTTTTCCTGCGAGTCATGCATCACAGGAAAAAATGCCTTGAATGCAGTAGCCATCCTAGACACTTTTGTGCCCCAATATCTCCACAGGCCTCTTCCATCACTTGAAGAAGACTTAGTTGTTGGTAAGATTTCCTCAATTTGATTCACACCACACCATTTGCTCCTGATCACCCTGCAGAAAGAGGATTTCATTGAGGAGATTTAAAAAATGTAGGAGCCTTGCTGTGTTGAATGGTCAAAAGAGAGCATTGTGTGCCATAACACCAGTTGTAGAAATTGTGGCACAGAGAGTGATGTTGCCTCCTCGTTGTCCAGGGACATTGACTGTAGCATAATGGCCGATCACATTTCTCCCTCTTCTCCTCTTCCTACATCCTCAGCCCTTCTTTCTCTTTCTACGACATCCTCAGCTCTTCTTTTTCTTTCTCCTACATCCTCAGCTCTTCTTTTTCTTTCTCCTACATCCTCAGCTTTTCTTTCTCCTACATCCTCAGCTCTTCTTTCTCCGACATCCTCAGCTCTTCTTTTTCTTTCTCATACATCCTCAGCTCTTCTTTCTCCTACATCCTCAGCTCCTTCTCCATCTCCTCTTCCTCTTCTTTTCCCTCTACCTTGTCCACCACCTCTCGCTCTTACACCTCTTCCTTTTCCACTGCTCATTCCCTTCTTTTTATTGTATTTTCTCCTCATTCATGTTTGTTCTTCTTCTCTTCCCCTTTTGTAGTTGTTATAATTAAGACAGCTGTGTGAACAATTGGGAAATTGGCTTTTTCTGTGTTGAGGGGATTATTAACTCTTCAGATATCAATTCGGGGTTAATTGAGGACATAAGGTGTGCAACTGACTATTTTACAATTCATAGAGTTTTGTTTGTTGAGTTTTGAAAATGGTACAAAAATGTTTGTGATCTTTGTGAAGACCAATGAAAAAGTTGCAAAAGTTTTTCCTGATATATTAAAGATTCGGTTGGGTGTATGAACTGCTGTGATAACATTAGGGAATTTTGTGCACAGTGTTTTGAGAAAATTATGCTTTTGATTTGTAATTTGTATGAAATGAAGGAGAATTTACTATCTGTTTAGGACCATTACGAAGTGTACAGATCACTGTGTTAAATGTTTTGAGAGCAGTGACCTGAGTTTGGAGAAATGTACCAAATCGATTGAGAAAAACTGTAACTGTGAAATATCTAGCAGAGATAATTTCACAAACTGACTGCAAACATCGTATGATAGGTGAACAATGCTTGAACTCTTCAAAACGATCTTTTTTTTTTTCCACAAAAGTTTGTAAACGTTGACTATATGTCTAGGTGCTTGATTTTATACACTTCTGGTACTGGGTCTGAGGTGTGTTCCAATACTTCTGTCCATATAGTGTATATTAAACTAAGAGCATCAGTAATTTCCCTTCTTGTGATGTTCACAATCAAAAAGCCACCAAGCCCCTCTCTTCGTTTTCTTTTTGTGGCTATTATGCATGCTTTTGTTTATTTCTTTATTTCTTCCCATGCTAAGCTCTACCCTCCCTGCATGCTTAAAGAACAAACCGCCACGGCGAACAGAGAGGGATGGAGTTATCCCTCTTAGTGCCATTCCACAGCGTGTTCTCAGGTTCACAGATGAGGTCAGCTCTGGGTAAGGGAATAGTGCTAAGCTGACTAAATCCAAACAAGATAACTGTACTATCAATAGGTAGTGAGGAGTAGTAATGAGACATTTGTTTGTGTGTGTGTGTGGTACAGGAAAATATTTCAGCATTTATGCCTGAGAAATAATGGCAAGCAACTAGTCATATGGCTTTTGTGTATGATTCTAATTATTCTTTCTTTCTTTCTTTCTTTCTTTCTTTCTTTCTTTCTTTCTTTCTTTCTTTCTTTCTTTCTTTCTTTCTTTCTTTCTTTCTTTCTTTCTTTCTTTCTTTCTTTTCTTTCTTTTCTTTTCTTTACAGTGATCTTCAGCCTTCATTAGACAGAGTAAGAAGTGCCAGCACGACTTGTTTAAGACCAGAGTCAAACTTCCACTCACTTGAAAGAGAAAGGTATGTGAAAACAAAGGGGAACCAAACTGTGTCAGCACATAGTGTCTGTGTAATGTTTTAAAAGCTTGGGGTCAGTAAGATTTTATTATGATTATTGTTTTATTAATACTTTTATTCAGCTAGAACACATAAAATAAATCGAAAGTGACAATGAAGGCTTTTACATTAATACTGTCACGATTAGCCACGCACTCCCTGGGTGATTACGGACTTCATTTACCATCAAGCATCTTCCTGGACTGAATACACCTAGCGACACACCCCAGCCAGCATCAACTCAGCACACCTGGTCACGCTCATCATCCCCTGAATACTGATATAACTAACCACGCAGCACACAGGATATAATGCCGCATTCCAGGCAACCTGTAATCCGTGTTTTTCCAACCTTATAATCGTGAAAGTGCACTGGAACGGCAGTCAAACCCATGTCTTCCCACCCATGAAGCGTGAACTCGTACTAGATCGATGTACTCCCAATTACGAGCTCTGACATCACATAGGCTGTGAAACCATACAAAACAATGGCAGCCCTTAAGGATGCAGTGTTTCTGCAGGCGGTACATGGTGAGAATGCACTGTAGGACAATATAATGTTGCAGTCAAATTAATAATAATAATGATGATAATAATACAGACACAATTATGTATTACAATGTTATGTGTCTGAAACAATAAGTATATTGTGCTTTGGCGTTACTGGCCTGGGACGCTACAAAGTTGTGAGTCGTGGTTTGAAGTCGTGATATACGTGCTCAAAAACCTGCCTGGAATGCAGCATCAGTCTCTCCATTGTTCTCTGTCTGGTCTCGTCTACGGTTTCTCAAGCTTCTCTGGTCCCAGGATTCCCATGTGCTCGCAGCAAGTATACTCAGGTTTATCACTAAATACTCTCCTGTGGGTATTTTCAAGCAGCCATTGTGTGTGGCGGTGCTTCAGGATTCTCCAGTCTGATTCTCAGAGTTCTTCGATGCATCTACGGACCTTGTATCTCCTCTCTGCATTCAAGTTGGAAGTTTATTCGAGGCTGCTCTCAGTTCATGTGTCTTTGGATCGGATATTGCATCAAGTGTATAAAAAAAAGTCTGTTAACTGTATGCAGTGTGCCCTCATCCTTCTAGTAGTGTGACAGATACAGAATAATTATAATAATAATAATAATATGAGTAATTTTTGCTGAACCAGATCAGCATTTTAGAAAGACTTTTTATGGATTTTGTCACAATGAAGACTGGAGTAATGTTTGCTAAAAATTCACCTGAACAATCACAGCATTACCATAAAATTTTTAAATATATTAAATTAAAGTTAATTGAAATTGTAATAATATTTTACAATATTACTCATTAATTTTTATTAAATAAATGCAATTTGGTGAGGGTAACAGACTAATGATTAAAACATTTTACTGACACCAGACTTTTAAACAGTAGTGCTCTTAAGGAGTCTGTTCTGCAATCTCAGCCTTTAACCAGCCAGTTTTGGTTAAATCAGAGATCCATCATCCAGACCTTGAACTCCATGATACCTTTCCATTTAGCTATTACATTCCTCCTTTTGTTTTTTGTTTTTCCACTCTGTTTGTTTTATGGATCAGTCATTTTCCATCTCAAAGGCATTCTGGCAATTTGGATAGGCCAAGCTCTCAGATAGCTAACAAGAAAACCATTGATGGTGACAGGTAAGATCTCATAATAAACCTCTGAACATATCTTTATCACTTATATTTTTGTGTGTGTGAATGTATTTCAGCTTTTTCACTAATTTGACCTTTTTTTGTAGTTGGTTTACCCTTTAATTTTTATTTATTTATTTATTTATTCATTTATTTTGCATGTCTGATTATCTCATTACATTTTTTTTTTTTTGCCCTTGACCTTCTTTGCGGTGGCTGTGTTTAGACTCCAGCCCACCTCTATCCTGAGGGGCAGCAGGAGGAGGAGAGAGCCTCCCCTCATGCCCTTTGGCCAGACCAGCTTAGGGGGTTCCTGCCCTAACTCTCCGCGAGCTGACAGGTGCATGTTGGGATCCTCTCAGAACTCGATTTATCTGCTTTAGTTTGTGTCTGTAAAAATGTTATCACCATATATTTATTTATTTATTTTGAACTGATAACATTAAATCTCAAAATTTCACTAGGTGATTATTTGTTATTTTGTTTTGTTGGCCGATACAACAGTGTACTTGAACTTGATTTGAACACCTACAGTACCAGCAAAAATAGTCTGTCAATGTATAAATAGCCTATGCGCAGATGTATTACACACAATTAAAATTTAACACAGTAAAAGTGTTTAATAATGAGAGGGGTTATGGAGAAAATGTGTGCACTGGTCATGTATTCTTAGCGTGACGACCACAATCCCACTCTTTGAATAAAACTTTTTTTATTAAAAAAAGAGTCATTTCATGCAAGTGAACGTTATTTTAAGTTAAGGCTGGCCCTAAATATGGATGCCCTAAAAGGACATGAAGAAAACTTCATGAGAAACTTTGCAAATGCAAAATACATTTTTTCATCCCATCTCATGTTTTTTTTTTTTTTACATCACCATGTCAATTTTATTGGCTCTGTAGGAATGCAGAGTTGATGCTACAGTAGTTGCTGAAAGTCATAACCAGTTTGCAGATACTGGGCAGTCAGAGATGACAGATTTCTCAAAAAAACATGCAGTGTATGATATGCACAATATTCTTTTTTTTTTTTTTTTACTTCAAACCCTGATTCCATCTAGTTATGAAACATTTTTGATATTTTAAGATGAATTTAGAACACATATTGTTATTATTTTTTTATGCACCTCTTAGCAACGCGTCACATTTTTCTGTGTGAGTTTGTTGAGTTTGGAACGATTTGAAAGTCTGGTAGTGTGTGATCTTCAGTCATAGTGTACCGAAGACATTCTCAAAGTCAACAAAGTATATGATGATGATTTTTTTTTTTAACCTGTTCAGATTTTAAAAGTTTTGTAATGTATTCCAGCCTTTAAAGCAAAACAATTTGATGCAAAAAGTTATAAGTGCACCTTTAACACTAAAAATGAATAATTTCTCCTTCAAATGTTTTCTTGTTTCTCCCTAACTACATAGTGTATTAAAATGAAATGTAACCTTTAAATCACATTATAAAATAATCTCTCTTTCCAGAGAACTTCCACGAGGAGGACATTATTCCCCAGCAGGGACACCATCATTAGGGCGCAGAGGCAGACAACTGCCACAACTGCCTGCAAAGAGCAGCAGTATAGAGCAAGGTAAGCAATTCACTCTCTTCTCCCTCTAGATATTCACAAAATCAGACAGCAGTAATCTGAAATGTTATTGCCATTCAAACTCACAGCCCAAACGCATGAATCTGTCCCCAGTGCTTTTATAAATGCCAGATAATTTCATGACTCCTCTGTCCATAGCCTTTTTCATGTGTTCCAAAAGATCACACTCCTTTCTGTCTCTTCTCATGCCATTTCTCATGCCTTCAACCCCATCTTCATGAAGAACATGTCAACAGTAAACCTGAGGAGAAACCTAACTCAGGTATCTCATTCCATTCTCTCCATTTTGCCCTAATATTGATAACTTGTTTGCCTTGAAGAACTGAACAATATTAATTTTTACTCTACTCTATACAGTATTTCTCGTTCAAACCCCACAATATTTGGAACATTGTAGCTCTTCCAAATAGGTTATTTGCTGGTCACTAGCCACTTTGTTCCAAAAACAGACTCACCAACTTAGTTTGTTCTTGGTCAAGATGATTTACTAGCTTCAAATCATGACCTGCTTGTACCAGTTAGAAACCACTGTTCCAAAATGCAGATACCACTTCAAAGCAAGACACGACCAGGTGAATAGAGTTACATAAAAATAACTAATAGATATCTGTCAGGGTTCTGTCACACTCCTACTGTCTCTTTATTGTTTTCGCCCTCCTGTCCATATGAGTTGTTTTGTTTGTGGAGTGTGGTTTTTGGATCTCAGCACTTTGGCCTTGTTTGGTTTCGGTTCTGTGTCAGAGTTCAGACATTCATGTTCCATGTGTTTTTCTGTAAGCGCATGGGATGAACTTGTGAGCTCTGTTCTCGTGTTAGATTGTGGTTTCAAGTTATCTCAGGCAGGCCGTAGTCTCTTCTGTCTGTAAGTGTTATGGTGTTCCCTGATTAGTCACTTCGAGTTACGTTGAATGGCGACAAATCAAACTCTAGATCTAATATTATCACATGGAATAGATGTTGATACCATTGAAATTCTGCAGCAGAGCGATGACATCTCAGATCATTATCTAGTCTCATGTAAACTTCACTTAGCCAAAGCAGAAAAGTCAACTCTGTGTTATAAATATGTTAGACCTATAACTTCTGCCAGTAAAAATGGCTTTGTCAATAATCTTCCTAATCAGTTTCATCATCTCAGCATCCCAGATAGCTTAGAAGAACTTGATATTGTGACAGAAACTTTAACTCTCTCACTTTAGAAGCAGTTGCTTCATTGCGCTTAAAGAAGATTAAAGAAAATAGTCTAACGCCGTGGTACAACGAGCACACTCAGGCCCTTAAGAGAGCAGTCAGAAAAATGAAGCGTAGCTGGAAAAAAACTAAACTAGAGGTATTTTGGATTTCATGGAAGGACAGCTCGATCGCATACAGAGATGCCTTAAAAACTGCTAGGTCTGCTTATTTTTCAACCCTATTGGAAGAAAATAAACATAATCCTAGGTATCTATTTGAAACAGTCTCTAAAGTAATGAAAAAGAAAGCTTCAAGCCCAGAAGTGTCCAAGCAACACAGCAGTAATGACTTTATGAATTTCTTTACTAAGATTGATAATATCAGGGACAAAATTATAACTATGCAACTGTCTACTACAGTATCAGCATGGCAACAGGGCATGCTCCGAGTACCACTTATTCCGTCCTGCCGTCAAACCTTTTCCCCGTGGTCGAACCTTAGTTCTTGTTTCTTGTTTCACTCCCTGACCGAGGGCACGCTCGGCATGGACTCATTGGCTCTTATCGGTTTTAACTGCACTGCGTAGTTCTCCCTTCGAGTCCTTGCAATCAGTGGAGCTTAAGTTCCTGTCGATGAAGCAGCGCTCCTGGTTGCATTAGCCTCTAGCAAGACGGGGGACCTGCTGGAAGCTCTGAGTTCCTCCCGCACTGTTGACCTCAACGCCAAGGTTATGCCCCCGTCAGCTTTCATATTTGGCTAGGTGTCTCTGTGTGCATGGTTCCCCTGCTGGGTGACCCCCACGTGTATCGGGTCATACCTGTTTACCTCCCTTCGGGAGGGCATGGTTGCTTATCTCTACTGAGATATCTTTACCTTCGTCCATGCTAGTCTCATGACAGGGAGCTCACACTTACACAGGGCACTGTAAGAAGGTGCGTGGTTAGACGGGTACTCCATTTTGACGTCATTCAACAAGGGTTATATATGTAACCGAGACGTTCTGTGTAGCATGTGGTTCATGTTTATATTAGGGATAGGCATTTTGTCAATTTCTCATTTTGATTATTGACAGGTCTCAAAATACTCGGGGGGCGGCACATGTCCGTCATGAAAATTAAATTATTTGAAGACTATTTCGAAAATGAATGCTGACAAATAAAAATATGACATGAAAGTATGTGTATAAACTGAAGCCCGTTCTATGACACATCCATTGAGATTAATAATCAGATATCCTAGAGATGCATAACATAAACCTAACATCACCACTTGCATCTGCACAAAAGGACACAAATGTGCATGTGAACTTGCTAGTTTTTACAGTCAATGGTTTGAAAGGGAAACTCTGGATGTGTGCTTTCCTTAAAAGCTTACTGATACACAGGCAACTAAAGCACAGAGAATTTAGAACATTCCATTACAATCATCTTCTCTTTATGGTGCTGTTTTTACTGTTAAAAACTTTTTACTGTTCACTGTTCTGTTTGTGCATTTTACTGTTAAAAAATGAGAACTAAATAAAACTGCTGCATTATTATCTTCAATGATTTTGAAAAAAGAAATAGCCCATCTAAAAGCAATATGAACGCCTCAAATAACCCAATAATTGTCAATGATGTCGGACATTGCATTTGAGTGCAGTAGGGAAAATGGCAGTGCGGCCAATGTGTGTGAGTGCTGGTAAAAATGTTGGAGAAATTGCTTATAAAAGGTGTGAGGGGATGGTTGGGATCTAGAGGACTGGTGGTAGGATGACTGGAGTGGAGAAGTTTAGATACTTCTGTCTCGGTGAGTTTAAAAAAAGGACAAGAGAAGATTTCTGGCTGTGGATATGGTTGATCTGAGTTCCTGTGTGTGAGGAGCTGAAAACTGACTGCTGATGGTTGTTGTTTTATCAGTGAAGAAATTAGCAGTTAAAAGGTGTTCTCATTATAATGTTATGTACATAGTAGATTGGCGCTGCACATCTTGCAGATAACTGCATTACATAATCAAAGTGATTCCAGGCATCACATTTCACTTTATTTTGCTGGTCTGGAAAAAATCAGGTCTCAGGAACCTCCTTAAATGCTGCGTTTTCATGACCAATCATCGCTGTCATGTATGAGTACTCGTAACCATACCTAGTTTGGCCATGTGCTTTCATGTTGTCATGTTTTGTCTTGAGCTGTGTAGCACATGGCTTGTGACGGGTGACCAACTGTCCTGTTTTCCCAGGACATGTCCTGTTTTCATATAACAATATAACAATTTTCCATCCATACAGAGAGGCATAACCTACTTTAAATGTATTGAAATTAATAAGGTATCTTTGAGTAAACTTCGGAGTATCATTTGAGTTGGCCCATGTGTTTGCTGGGCAGAGTGTCCTGGTTTTTGTTAATCAAAATATGGTCACCCTAGGCTTGTCTGTTTAATTGACTGCGTGCTTTCATGTTATCGTGTGGACACAGTCGGTGAGAGCTCTCATTAGCTGCATGTTTTTGTCATGTTTTGTTTGAGCACATGGCTTGTGAAGTTGTGATTGTGTTCACACTTCACAGGCCATGTGCTCTTGATGTTTAAATTTTTTGGTATGAGCACATGGCTGGTCATGATTGTTTCTTTGTGCCATGTACTCTGCTGTCTATTTTCAAACCCCCACCCTTCTTGTTATCTGAGTATTTTTTTTAATTTGCACCACCTGTACTCCCTCGTTACCTGCTTTGTTTGCTTTCCCTATTCATTCTCCTTGTGTTTGCAGTCCTGTGGTAGATCATCATCTAATGTGGTCCATGTTTACTGGCTTCCTGTTGTTTTCTGCCCTTTGTTTCCTGCCATTTCTTGTCCGTATCTTACCTTGTTCAGCTGGTCATGTTTTCTCCCACGGGGTAGTTCTCATATGGTGCGCATACTTCCTACTTCGGACAGTAAAACCTCCACTTCTCCAACCACCTTCTGCTGAAGGAGGAGGCGAAACAAATCCACCTCATGCTGAAGCTCCTCCAGAGGTGGCCATAGATGCAGTAGCTCTTCCTAGAGACTGCTGCAGACACTGCAGCTTCCCCTGAGGCACCCGAGACCACTGCATCACTCCATAAGGATGCAAAGTGCTTTGCAGCTTCTCCGCTGGCCGCCTTCTATGTCTCCTCGTCCTCGCAAGCTCAGGAGAAGGAGTTCTCCTGTTGCTCCCCCAAGCCCAATGATCCTGGATGACCTGACTCTGATGGTCCCAACCAAGTCTGGTGGTCTTGGAGTACCATAGGCCAATGGTCTCTAATCCAGTTGTTTTGGAGGACCCAACTCCAGTTGTGCATCCAGCTCACATACCTCTATTTGCTTCCTGTTTTCAGTCGAAGCCCACAGTAGTTGATTGTTGGGTTCACATGCGCGATCATTGGTGAATATGAAGAGTTCAGATGCAAAAGCCTCTAAATGCCATTTGAATTTTTCATCTTTAATGATGATTTTTATCAAACTTGTATATTTAAGTTCAGTAATTTCACTTAAATGGCAATGATAATTACCTATTAATTGTTATTTAAGTGAAATTACTGAACTTAAATATACAAGTTTGATAAAAATCATCATTAAAGATGAAAATTTCAAGTGGCATTTAGAGGCTTTTGCATCTGAACTCTTCATATCATCTCAAACCTACCACTGTTTGGTGTTCTGAGAATATCAGCTCAAATGGATAGTTCATCCGAATCAGATGTTGAACTCACGGAGGAGGTTTGAGATGATATTCACTAATGATCGACAGTCGACTTCTGTGGGCTTCGACCGAAAACAGGAAGCAAATAGAGGTATGTGAGCTGGCTGAATTAACATCATTTTTACATCTACTGCAGTCAGATTGACCGTGGTTACTCTTAATAACACCACTCACATGGCTGCGTAATGACAAATCAAGGATGTTAAGAGGCTAAAAGCAGGTTTAGAACATGCCCCATTGAAGTCAACAGGGTGCGAATTTTAAAAAGACGATAACACGGTGTAGGCAACACCGATTTTTGTTGTTTTTGTCTGTACTGACAGCACTCCAAATGTACAAAAAATGAGCTCAATGTTAAAATTGACCGGAGTTCTCCTTTTAAGCTGTTTTTTTTCAAGCAGGGAAGATTTATTGTGCATTTCCATCAAAAGTATAATTTCGTCAAAAATGTCTCATTGTAGCACTAGCAGTGGAGGAGCGTGCTCGTCAGTTGCAGATGAGAGTGCCCTCCCATCGGCCGGGCTCCTCTGCAAGCTTTGGTCACGATCCAGAGGCAGACCTCAAGAACAGAAGAGATGTGAGTCTTAAACTGGCTTTTAGGTCTCCAACTCGTTTGTCTGGCAGTGCTGGTTGATGTTTAAATAATTCTTCAAAAACTTTAATTATACGCCCACATTCCTTTTTGTATGTTTCATTGTTTTTAAAAATGGTTCTAAATATTTGTTTTCCATGGTTTAGATGTATAAAGACCAGAGGAGGAGTTGTGATAACATGTCTGCGAGGTCATCAGACAGCGACATGAGTGATGCTTCAGCCATCTCCCATGCCAGCAGTGCCTCACGGCTGAGCGCCACCAGCTATATGTCCAGTCAGTCTGAGAGGCCGCATGGGAGAATAAGGTTAGTCTAAAAACATGCACAGAAACAAACACGCAGGGTCCTCATTTAACACTTGGAAACTGTCATTGTACACGGTTTAGTGACCGGCATTGTTTTAAGCAACACAAGGTTTATAAGTCTAAACAATCAGACTTATAAACCCTGTAAAAGTAAGAGTCTTTTAATGACTAGTATTTTATAGCATGCCTAAAATGCTTTTGCAGCAAAACATATATACATATATATATATATATATATATATCAGATGCAAAAGCCTCTAAGTGCCATTAGAAATTTTCTTCTAAAATGACCATTTTTATCAAGCTTGTATATTTAAGTTCAGTAATTTCACTTAAATGGCAACGAAGATTACCTATTAATTGTCATTTAAGTGAAATTACTGAACTTAAATATACAAGCTTGATAAAAATGGTCATTTTAGAAGAAAATTTCAAATGGCATTTAGAGGCTTTTGCATCTGAACTCTTCATATATAAATGCAAAATATAGTTATGACCTTTAAAAATAAAGTTGCCAGTAAATTTCCTGATTAACTCTTTAACTCTTCATTGGAAGTTGGAGCAAAAGTTGATTTTGTACCATGCACACCACTTAAAAAATAGTACAAAATATATATTTTTAATAGCTACAAAATAGTTTTTACATTCTTTAGCTCTCTGCTAATTTTCCATACTCTGAAAAATCATATTGTGTTCTGTCACACTAAATTATATTGTTGTTTACTTGCAATGCTTATTTATTCCCTCTCCTATAAATCATAATATTTTTCTCTAGTAAAATTGCAAAATTATTCTATACTAGCAGTAATTATTCAATTCAGGTCACAAAAAGGTAGTGATATTTCATTTTTGTTATTAGTCATTTGACACTTGCATGTTTTTAGCTGTCTGTCTTATGCATGGCCTGTTACTTTTGAAACATTTTTATTTTCTGCATGATTTCCCTTTCTTTCTATTACGGCTTGCGTTCTATTGCATAAATGCATAATGCATTGGGGGTCAAAGGTCAAAGTCGTTGGAGAGTTGTAAAGGAGAAGAAAAGAAGGAGAGAAGGATTTCATGGGGGGTGAATGGAACAGACAACAGAAGGAGTCTGGGAAAGAGACGTTTCTCTGAGGAGCTTAAACGCAGGCGTCATACGGTGGCTGGAGATATGAGGTAACATGGACCAGCTCTCCCTGCCCATGTCTTCACCTCAACCACCACTGGATAAAACTTTATCATTAGCTAATACCAGAAACCAAAACAAAAACAACATCTAGAATTGAGCAATCTTATCTTATTTCTGCTGATAGTGCTTTTTATTTTTAAGCACAATTTGTATTGTTTTACCATTTTATTTGATGCAAAATGGAGTACAGCACCCAGAAAATGTATGTATAATCTTCCTCAACTAGAAGGCTGGCAGACTATTGCAATCTGTCATACTTCACAGGGAATTAATGATCCCAGTGATCCAGACACCATAGTCGGCTCTTAAAAATACAAAAAGCATCCTCGACTACACCACACATCTGGACATATGCCCAGTAGAAGAGTTCTTCACAAGCTTTCAGTCTTCAATTGATGAATCACTGCTGCCATGATCAGTAGAAATGTACAAAATAAACTAATTTCATTTACAGTACCACCTGCATGCCATATGTGGTAATATTGCAACGTTAAAAGTAGGGATGTCCCGATCCGATCCACGGCATCGGTATCGCGCCGATACCGGCCCAGAACGCTAGATCGGAGATCGGAGGGGAGAAAAAAATATGAGCGATATCCAGTTTAGCGGCGCAGCCTGTCACGTGATGATTGTTGTGTTTACGCACACGCGCGCAGAGAATCACTCTCGCTTTGCGTGTCAAGAGCGAAACTGGCGCGCGTAAAGTTTGAAGCGAAATTTACGCGCGTGACGCGCGTCAGAATCAAAATCCGTTGGCGGTCATTGTTTTTATGTCGACCGAGCATTCATCAAGAGAGTTACCGCTCTGTATTTACTCTGGATAGCAGAACAGCGGCGTGGGGATCATCGTCGCCGTATATTTGTGTCCACCGGACCCTTCGGAGCCGAACCGTTTGGCGAGTTTCACCATTTGCTCGCTCCAGGAGCTGCGCTGGATGACGGCCGCTGTCAGCGGTACTTCCGCCTGTCACGCGCCCAGTTTGATGACCTGTTGTCCCGCATCTGAGCGAGGATCACCCTCGCCCGGCCCCTCATCCATCTAATCTAGCTGTCATTTATTTTTGTTTTGATAATAAATAGAGCCAGCCTTCAAAAGTTATTAACCTGTCCTGTGATTTTTTTTCTTTCTCTCACGTCCAGACACGAATTTATGCACATATGTTGATTGTCTTTACAACATAATACTATTTCTAGATATGGAATGAATAACATTCAATACAAAATGAACATGTCTCCATATAGAAATAATGTTTTAAGTGATGAAACATTTGCTTTGTTGTGCATAATCCCACCATGCATTTAGTCATATTAACAAAATAATTTATTGAAGCATCCAGACACTTCACCACGTGAGCAAGCAGCTAGGCTCCTGATTGGTTAACGCGGCGCGAATTCACGCCAAAGTTCAGCCAACTTGACGCGCGAATGAGGCGTATTCGCGTCTTCCGCGCCGCGCTCCACGCCTCATTCGCGCCGCAGGAATTTTTCTTGCATTGACTTAACATTGAAATCATTCGCGCCTGACGCCCTATTCGCGTCCGGTGTGAACGTAGCATTAGTGCGTCGAAGTTGTGATAGCGCTGTCGGCTAACGCGAAATGCTACTATTTACATTCCATGGATGTTTATTCATATATACAATTGTTTTGGACTAAAAACTTCTTCAAATTGGATTGTATGGACGCTTTACAGTGAAACCAAACCATTTTTGTTGGAATGTGGACTAACAGATGGCTAATTGGTGAGTTTCTTCCAGTTTGTGTTGGTTTGTTTTGGCTGTTGGTGGTCTGACAAAGAGACAGATTGTGCCCGCTGTGTTGATTGTATCTTAAAATGGTTTACGTCGTTCGAATCACGAGTTTCTCAGCTTTCCAAAGATATGTATTATGTTTACTTTTGTGTTTGTTTTGTTTTGTCTTTCACAAAGTTAAACCTATAAACCACCCTGTGGGCCGTATACGGCACGTCGGACCACGAAAAAAAAAATATCGGACTAATATCGGTATCGGCAAAAGCCAAAGGTGCGGCATCGGTATCGGTATCGGAAGTGAAAAAGTGGTATCGGGACATCCCTAGTTAAAAGCATATACTTTGTTCAAGAAGAAGACTAATTTACATTGAAAAGAGGCAATGACAAGGAAAAAAATAAAAAGAGGATAAAATCATTCCTTCTTCTAAAAGCCTAAAATTAACTTTCTTTCTTTTCTGTCTATTCTTGTCTCTTTCCTAACCTATTGCGGTTTTTCACTAACCAGTTATATATATTCATTATTTATTTTATTTTTTTAGAAATCAGTTTGAAGCCACACACTAGGTGTCAATGTCTGCTTAGTTCAAACAAACATAGTTAACAAGAAATATTTTTGCGTGGCATTGACGTGTGCGATTTGATTGAATGTGCATGAATTTTATTTTTAAGCTAATTCTTTATAATTATAATGCATTCAACTTTTATTACATACAGTACAAGTTGACTATGATCAATATTTGTATAAGTTAATTTGTCACAGCCCTTAAAATGAGACAAAAAAATGGTTAAAATAGTGTAAAACTTAAAAGAAATGTTGACCAGTTTTATTTCTAAAATATTTACTATTCCTTGTACATCCATATGAATTTAAAATATTAATGTTTAAAAAAACGCATGTGCATGTTCAAGCGTCAAGTATACCTTAATACCTTAACTTTTACCAACTATTCATATTTTATTGGAATAATGATGTTTTCTGCTGTCTTAAAGGGATCCTCTACCCAAAAATGAAAATGCTGTCATCATTTATTCACCCTCAAATTGTTGCAAACCTGTATGAGTTTCTTTCTTCTGCTAAACAAAAAGGAAGATATTTTGAAGAACGATTGGAAGCAATCGGCACCATTGACCTTCCATAGAAGAAAAAAAAATACTATGGAAGTCAATGGTGTCAAAGTTCTAATCATTCTTCAAAATATCTTCCTTTTTGTTTAGCTGAAGAAAGAAACTCATACAGGTTTGCAACAACTTGAGGGTGAGCAAATGATGACAGAATTTTCATTTTTGGGTGGAGTATCCCTTTAAAATGCTCCTGTACACTACATATAGTTTGAGACATGGTTGTGTTTGATTTCATTTGTATCGTTTATTTGTTTTGCTTCATTCACATGCAACTCTCTGTGTCTCTATGTGTGTCCTGTGTATTTTGTGTATTAGATCCCTCTTTGCATGCCTCACCTCATATCTCCCATGCTTGAATACTGAGCCAGCACTGGATCCTCCTAAACCCAGAACCCAGTCTGCCTACCCCTCTATCACTGGCACTGACCTCCAGCTTGTGGAAGAGAGACCTACCTCTTTACTTCCTATCCCCACCCTACATTCTACAGACAGGGGATTAGGGTGTAGACATGATGGGGAGAGTGCAAATGGACAGTCCTGCAGTACCTTGACACCGTCAGAGGGTGCAGACGTACGGCAGCTCCTCCGAGCCCCCAGGGGGCAGCAAAGGACATGGCTGCACTGTCAAAATGTGCTGCTGTGTTATAATACAGACAGTTTGAACTACTGATCTGAAGATGTTGCTTTTTAATTAACACAATTATATTAAATCAGATGTAAATCAAGTTTTAAGGATTTCGTGAATTAAAACTTTGTAGCTTTTAGGGACTTTGTGTTAATTAATGTAGCCTACTTCTAAACACAATTCACTTAAAGTAGGTCTACACTTTTAAACTCTTACAGAAAAAAAAAAAAACAGATCAGAATACTGATATTGATTACAACAATTCAAACAATCTCTCTTCCATACTGGCTTGTGCAAAAATAAAAAAAGAATTTGATTGGACAAAACCAGGTATTATTTTGTGCTTCGATTAGATTCAGTGATGTGGTTTGTAAGCTGTTTTAGCGGTGTACATACATCTTGAAAAATAATAAAGCATTAAGATCTTGAATATGGTTTATAACAGTTATGTATCAACTGAATTGTCTTAACTATTCATCTCTCTTTTACTCCTTCTCTTGCTTACAGTCGTCAAGTCAGAGCCTCATCTGGTCGGAATATGCTAAAGAGCACAAGTGTTAGCGGTGACATTAATACATCAGAACGAACAGACGGCAGCCAGTCTGACACTGCTCTGGGAACAGTCGGGGCTGGAGCTAAAAAGCGTCGTTCCAGCCTCAATGCTCGATTCGTGGCTATTGTGGGAAACCGCCGCAGCCGAAGCACCTCACAGATCAGTCAAACAGGTTAGTGTCTTTAGCACACATCCTGATTTTGCTGAGTCAGACTTGTTCCTGTGTCAACATATTTTGTTGATCCTGGAACAACATTCCTATCTGAAAATGTTATCCTAACCATATCCCTACACCTAAACCTAACCCTATCCATAAGTTATCCCTAAAATCAGAGAGAAATGATTGGTGAATAACACTTATGTAGAAGCACCTAACCCTGGTAAGTAAGCCTAAAGTAAGCCTAACCCTGTACTTAAGGTAAAATGTAAACTGGTCTCTCAAATCTGATTGATTGATTGATTGATTGATTGATTGATTGGAATATTGTTATTATATGTTATATTATATGATTGGAATATTATATTTTTTTCTCAAACAATAAATACACTTAAAAAAAAATAAGTAACAGGCAATTGTCAGCTTACGGCTCATTTGACCCTTTAAAATTAGTTATATTTGGTATAATCCACACAACTGTTTTGTTTTTGAAAGAAAATAGTACTTTTAACCAGCAGGGATGCATTACATTTATTAAAAGTGGCAGTTGAGACATTTACAATGATACACAAATTTACATTTTAATATTTCACACTTTTATTTATCAAAAAATCCAGAATCCAGAAATAAATGTTTCATGGTTTCTGTACAAATATTATGTAGCACAACACTGTTGTATAGAAAAAAGAAATAAAAAACATAATAAGAAATATTTCTTGAGCACCAAGTCTGAATATTAGAATGATTTCTAAAGGATCATGTGACACTGAAGACTGAAGGAGTAATAGCTGCTAAATATTCAGCTTTGCCATCACAGAATATAACAATAGAAAACAGATACTTAAAATTGTATGAATATTTCATAAAATTACTGTATTTTGATCACATACAAATTTATAAGTTCCCAAAATGTATTTCAATTAAAAAAGTTTGTTAAGATGTTTTTTTTTTAGGTTACCTGACATAAATTACCTGACATTATCCTTAGAGGTTGTCAAAGTGTTTTCACTAGACAAAGAAAAAGGCCACACAAAATGCAGTGTCATAAACATTAAGCCTACTTTTCCTGTTTCAGCCTTTGATCAGTATCCTGCTACGAGTTCAAATATATGCTTTAGCTATGGTTTGTTTGTCCTCATCAAACCTGAATAGCATCTTTTCAAAAGAGGCACCTGTGGCCATTTTAGTACTTTCAGATTTTAGGACTGACTCTGCATTGTTTGGTATAATAAGACTTTCCATCAGGCGACTCATGCCACTGCCACAGAGCCTGTTTCTTTTGAAAAAGTCTTGAAAGCACATTAGAGGAGTCGTAAGACCTGCGGGGGGATCTGCATTTTATTCTTTCTGTTTTATGTAAGACAAAAGTGACTCAGGAGGAGACAAGCCCCCCCCCCCCCACCCACCCCATACCGATAAAGGGGTTGTTAACGCAGTACGGTTCGCTCTCATCCCAGTGGGAGCTACAAGCACTGTCAAATTATTTTTCTGTAAAAGGATGTAGCATGTTAAATAGATAGTGTGCAGCTTGACCGGAATTGTTTAGAAAAGACATTGATCTCATTGAACTCTTAAAAAAACATAAATCACAGACAATCATGTAGGAGAGATACAGATTTTCCTTTTTTTTTTCTCTGCAAATGAGTGATACAAACTTCTCTTAAAAGTCTTAAAATACGTTTATTGTTTGTGGAATCTGTCCATCTTCAGAGGCATCCAATAAGAAGTCGAAGGGCAGTCAAGGGACAATCCAGCGCAGTCAGGAGACAGGAATGGCTGTGGAATTGCAGAGGAATATGAGCCGTCAACCTAGCCGAGAATCCAACAACGGAAGCATGAACAGCTACAACTCAGAGAGCAGGTAAGTTTCCTTCTCGTTGCTTTATTAGATTATATTTAGGAATTTTTTAAATGCAGCACTTCCACCCATGATAACAAGATTGGCACTGCATTGGTCACGCACTTCTTCAAACATCTGTTACGCGTTCTCTAAAACAACATGGAAAGATTTGCTCTTGTTATCTTTTCATACCAATTGCCAGTTCTTGTATGTACATATCTGTCCCAAAAGCAGGGGTCAGTTGGAGCAATTTCCTGTTCCTGTATTTACAATGATCCAAAGTAATTTCACATTTTCCTTCTTTTTTTTTTATTCTGAAATGTCCCATCGTAAACCGTGATTATTATTTTTTAGAAATACTGTAGCAGCCTCATTAAGTGCCGTTCCTTTTATCCAAACAACAGTTAGCCAGGCATTGTCATTATGTCATTATTAAACATTAAGCATGTTTGTGGGAATACCATCCCTGAATACTTACCTACATACATTGATAATTTTAAAGAGACCAATTAAAAAGAAATTGATCTCGTTACTACATTTTTTCTTTTAGAACAACACCTGCAACACCTTTTTTCATTACAATGTTTGTCTTTGTCAGTCCAATATTTCCAGCGGTTCGAGTCGAGACTCAGTTCAGTGACTTCCTAGATGGACTGGGCCCTGCTCAACTAGTTGGTCGACAAACCCTAGCCACACCAGCAATTGGTAAGCTTTTCTTCTTTGTGACTTTTTAAATCTTTTTTTTAACCTTTCTCCTATCCTTATCCCATTTGCTGCCGATTGTTTACTATTTTTATTCAGTTATATGCAACTGATTGTGATTCATTTGATCAACTACACAAGTAACTGCTTATATAAAAATGAGCAAAGAACCAATATAATTTCAGCCATTATGTTATCGAAGGAGACAAATGAAAAGACAACACTGTACATGCTTTAGAATTTACTTTATTTTTCAGATAATTGAACATAAGCTGGCCAACAGTTCATAGCAAATCATTTAGCAATCAAGTTCTTTATAAGATAGATTTAGAGACTGTTTACATTGGATGCGTTTCAGTGATCAGTCTATGCCATTTTTTTAATCATCGGTCTATAAAATTTAATTTCATTTAATATATAATCATTTACCACTGTATTATGTCACGATGTTTTTAGCATCTCTTTTCAAGACAGTTATGTTGTATTCAATTTGTATAGTTTTTTTTTTTTTCTATATTTGTACTAAATACAATAAATTACATGTACAGTCCTAATTTACTGCCAAAATACTAAAGGTAACTGCCTTGGGAAATAATGTTTTTGCATGAACCATTTGAATAAATCCATTAAGCAAATGTGCCGTTCAATTTTGGTTTTCTTTGCATGTTCTGTGATGTCCAGGTGACATTCAGATTGGCATGGTGAATAAGAAAGGCCAGCTGGAGGTGGAGGTGATAAGAGCACGAGGTCTCATTCAAAAACCTGGATCCAAATCACTCCCTGGTGAGTCCTTTCTGATGTATTCTGAACTCGCAGCTTGTGATTCAAACTCCATATGTATAGTATCATGTTACTCAGCCACATACCTCATCAAGCAGTTCTAGGTGATACAGAAAAACAGACAAATTTGCCAGAGCTAGTCATACTTGATATGTACAGTAATGTCAGTAGGATACATTGTGTTGACACGTGCCTAATTTGATCCGTTATGTTCAATCATAGCTCCATATGTCAAAGTCTATCTTCTACACAATGGGGCATATGTAGCTAAGAAGAAGACAAAAATTGCACGCAAGACACTCGACCCGCTGTACCAGCAAGCACTGCAGTTTGAAGAAAGTCCGCAGGGTAAAGTGTTACAAGTGAGTCTTTTATGTGTCTTTTTTTTTTCTACGTTTAGTTTATTTTTGCTGATTCTATCCACTTGATGAGGCAGTTGAACAAAATTTCTGTGAGAAAATGTCACTGAAGCTCACAAGGGCTGCATGAAAAAAAAAAAAAAGATCACATTGTTGAGATTAGATATTATTAACTTTGATTATGTGACCTAAGAGTTCCATCCACTGATGAATCAATAAACAAACTGTTGATTTCATCCTATTAGGTCATTGTCTGGGGAGATTATGGGCGAATGGACCACAAATCCTTCATGGGAGTTGCACAAATCCTACTAGAAGAGCTGGACCTCTCCAGCAATGTCATTGGCTGGTACAAACTTTTCCCGCCTTCTTCCCTTGTCGACCCAACCCTTGCCTCTATAACTCGGCGTGCTTCTCAGACATCCCTGGACAATTCACCGGCACCTGCGGGAGTTCGATCGTAGTGGACTAACGATATAAAGCACAGTCAATACAAGCTGAGAGACAACAAGATAAGAGCCAGGCAGAAAATGCGATGAAACGACACAAAGCTTTGTTCAAATCTGACAATCACTCCTGTGACTTTGTTTTTATGTTTTCCTCTTTGTGGGTAGCACGTGTTCTGCCGAATTTGTTTGTTTCTCTCACTGTTTATTGCGTGAGATTTAGTGCTGTCTAGCACACTAGCACGTGGACATAGAAAGCAGGGTGATATTCTGTCAAGTCTTCATTAAAGAAATGTACGTTAGCTAGTTTTTAACAGAGCATCAGAATGTATCAGCCCAAAAACAAAGGTGACCTCTGACCATGGGATTGTGGGGCCTCAGTCGAGGCCCTGTCTAAACCCTGTTTTTACTGAAAGTCAAAGGTCAGCCACTGGAAAGATGGAGGGCGTCCCCTGGGGAAGTTGTCTGGAAGGGCAGGGCCTTTCTTGGTGCCTAAACCTGGAGGACCCAAAGCCATGGTTCATATCCTCCAAAAAGTTCCTCTGTTGTCAATGCTTGTGACAGCTAGCAGAGGCCACTGTCTTCTGGAAGTTCTTTTATATTTGTTTAGTTTTATTTATTTATTCATTTTTAACAGCTCTGCCACATTTTAGGAAAATCAAGAGGTTGTCCAGTGTGCTGTGAAAATGACAAGAAATGCTAAAAAAGCGATGGAAGACAACGTATCTGGAAAAATTACACATTTCTTTGCACAGTGTACATTTTTATTTACTGCTAACTGAAACATTATCCTACAGTACATTGCATACGTCATCTTATTCAGTGAATTCAAGATTTGTGGGTATTTACACTTTTCATTAAATGCAATTAAAAAGTATATATTTAGTTCGTGAAAAAACACTATGTACCAAGGAAAGCATATTTGTGTACTTTTCTAATTTAGGGTCTTTGGTAAAATAAATATATACAATTATGTTTTCGTCTGTTGAGGAAATCTTGATACATAGAGTTTTTTGGGCACTAAACGTAACTTTTTTAATTTGTTTAATGGGAAGTGATTGCATAAGCGTGCATTTTCCTTTTTAATATGTATGGTTTAGCAAAAGCCACTTTCAACTTATACCACCCTGAGGTCACACGATTGACTCAAACTCTACAACAAGCCCTTGCACATTTGTATTTATTTTTAATTAATAATGCAAGCACAAAAGCTTGATTTTTAAATGAGATGAGAGAAAAAAAAATGCAAATTCCTCTTGTGTGTCTCTGTAAATGTTGAAGTGACCAATCAGATTTTGCCATCACAAACATAAACACCAATCATCTATCAGGCCACTGGCCCCTCCCTCCAGTGCAGTGGAGCAGCATGACTCGGATCAGTTCCCGGCTGCATGCACATTTTTGTAAAACAGACTACACAAATGTTAAACAGAAATAGATATGTGTTAGTTCAACATACTGTAGGCCCGCTTGTATGTTGCATGTACTGTACAGTTTGCTTGTACTTGAATATAAGAGATAAACCAAGAAAAAGAAGCCATTTGCTTTCACTCAGACTTTTCAAATCAGCTAAAAAAAGTAGTCCATGTCCTTCATTCGGTGCTGAATGTTGCAACATTTATTTTTAGTCTTTTATATATCTTTGGGGAAATGTGCTGTACTGTAACACTGAACAAAAGCTAACCTCCTTCCTGTTTTACAGATTTTAACTGAATCATAATTTACCTCAAAACCACAGAAATTAACCTATAAAATGTGTATACATCCCATCAAGTTATTCAAGAGTATACCGATATCAAAGCAGGAAATGTCAAAAATATATCATACATACATAACCGTATACATGTTAAATATAAATGTAGATGCACAGAGAGTAATTAGCGCATGTGTTGTAAATATGAGATAACCATGTGGTTAAGCCATATTTGCAAAGGGGCCAAGGCTTACTTTTGAGAACAACCTTCCCAATACGGGACCGCTGAGCGGACACCTTTCTTATCATATGGGTCCAAATCTAGAGCTCTCACTGTCACTTTTAGAGGGCCGAACCACTCCGCTCTGAAGCTGTAGCCAGATTATCGTTTTATCTGTGCTTTCGAGCCAAAATCTTCACCTCTGCTATGAACACGAAATCAGAAAAAAAGATTGTTTTTATTCATGAGAGACAGGTTTCATTTTTACTTGATCAGTATTATTGAGTATAGGGGAAAACAATGCTGACTGTTTACATCTTCTAGTATGTGTTTCACTGAGATGATGAAAAAGAAAAAGTATTCACTGCAACATTTCTGTTTGTATACAGGTGTGGCTCATATGATGTGTGTTTTATATTTAAAAGAAAAAGAAAAAAGTTAATTTTTATTATTTCCAAATAAAAAAAGTGTGTGGAAGAAATTTTCAACCCGATGTTTATGTTCTTTTCATTTAACCTTTTTTTAACCCAACAGTGGTTAGACAAACCTCAGCCTATGGTGTGTTTTATCTCAGATGAGAAACACTAGATTAGAGTTTAAAAAAAAAAAATTTGAATCACTTTTGACTTCAGACTTTTCTGACCCATACATTTATCATGTAATAGTGCATTTATTTTATATAGTGTTGGCTGACATATTTTAAGATTTGATTTAGGAACACGATGTACGATCCATGATGGAATTGGCTATCCCTGCAGGATTTCCCACCAATCATGTTTATCTACATGGCTTAGGCTCATAAGTAAAACAATAGCAAAACGTTTTTAAATATGAATAATTTCTAATGATTCTGTTATACATAGGCTACATTAACGGTCAAAAGTTTGGAAACATGAGAAACATTGTGAAAACAATGGTTTTCTATTTGAATATACTTTAAAATAAAGTGTGATGCAACACTGACTCTGCCATTTTTTATTTTTTTTTCATAGGATTCATAGATGAATAAAAAGGGGGAAAGGGAGAAATCTTTTGTAACAATATACAAAACCGGTCAAAAGTTTGGGGTCGTCATTTATTTAAAATTCATTATAGAGATGTGTCAAATTGATTTAAAAAAGGGACAGTAAAGATTTATATTGTTAGAAAAGATTAAATAATTATATATAATATATCTACACAAAAAGAGTACTACATACTTATAGGTATTGGGCTAATTGCCGATGCTGAGAGTTCTCCTCAAATTGACCAGCAGAGGACAGACGTTTGTTAGAATTCTTCCGAGAGTCAGCGCGCAGTGGATAATCGTGAACTCAGCACTCTCAGCGTCATGTTGAGGGCTCGTTTTGTTTGCAATGCTCAAATTAACCCTGCGGTTAATAAAGAATAGGACTTAATTTTATAGGCTATACCGTAGATTTTAGAATTAATTAACAACGAGAGCTATAACCCAAGAACCACGTCAGGCTAAAGACAGAGATTGTAGCCATTAATGTAGGCAACCTTACCATTAAAAAAGGCTGTTAGTTAAACTCCAACTGAAGCAAAAAGTAACAATTCGCAATTCACTTAACGTATATTGTTCATCGCCTTCTACGTTGTTGCAGTGCAACATAATTGCATGTCCTTCCCAGCCGCCTCGCAAACTGGCGTCACAGCAATTAGCCTGACACATGTCTCTGTGTTCAGCCAAAGACCCCAGTGCTCCACTCGTGACTGGTAGCAAGTGATGGTGGTGGTTGCAAGGTTCATGGCCAGGAATGATTCCATTGTGGGCTTTACTGAAGCATTTTCATAATATACATAAAATAACGTGTCGCATCAGTCCTGTGCATAGGCTATTTCTTAGGCTATTTTAGCCCTTGTTGACGAGCCAGAACTTGAGTCTGAGTGTAATGTCTCTAATGTAGGCTGTAGCCGATTGGAACTCCATCGCATCTTTTCATAATTTCTATATAGGCTGAGTCATTGGATGTAAGGTTGAGAAGTAAATGGATTGCAGCCCAAGATGAGCCACATGCATAACTCATCAACATGAAAAAAGGGGGATCTTCTATGCTGACGTAAATCATGAAGGTCTTGGTATTAAATGCTTTTGAAATAAATATTATTTTGGTGGAGAATATACACGGGAATAACTGGTTTTACCATCCTGGTGACGCTCCTTAATTTAGTTTATTTACAGACATACCAAATCAACCTGCACAAGCACAAGATGTTGCAATTAGTCTACGGACCACCCAATAGCCTATCTGCTAATTCTGGACGCAAGAAGGCGCTTACTGAAAAAAGAGGAGAGGAAGCACGCAGAAGACGAAAGCCACAGTTTCCCCTATCAGTGACAGCTGCATGGGATTTATAACGGAATCTTTTAACTGAAAGCCAATGAAATTGATGGAAGATTCTCTAATTCAAACGCCGTTATCTAGGCTATTTGATCTCATTTTAAGGATTTACACTTTTCCGTGCGCTTGTGTTAAATATGTTGGTCTGCTGTTAATTAAACTTTTCTCCCTCAACAGCATCTTTTACATGACAGTTAAACTCAAGTGTCTAATTTGAGAATCAAATAGACTCAAAATGCTCTTTTGCATGATAGCATAGCCATATGATCAGTTTGATATAGCAGTCGATCAGAGTTTAAGTAGGGGAGGGTGAGCATGCCCTCACAGAAAACAGTGTTTGTGTGGATTTTATTTTGGGTTCAGTCACAGTTGGGCTGTCTGACAGGCTAGGCTACTATGGAGACTCCATGAAAGGGAAAATGTGATAGTCTAAATATTTTGCAAAGCCTATTGGGAGAGAATTTATTCAGCCTAATACATGTATTCATTTTTTAAATTATTCAGTAGGCTAACGTTACGTATACTACGAATTCATTTGGCTCCATGTTTCGACATAAGTCGCATGTCCTTTGAAAGGGCCGACATATAGTGTTGCTATGGTTACCTCCTCATGCAAACCAAGTCCCTTTAAGATAGGCTATAAAATTTGGGCAAACGGGATTTCTGTTGTATTTTGAAATAAAAATGAACGTTTGAAAACGCCGAAACGTTCCTTATGTTGCCTAACCTAATATGCAGAATAAAAACTTTCCGAGAGACCCCCGTCCAGCAGTTTGCTTCAACATTTGAGGGGCTAAAGCCTTGACAGCTCATCTTAATAATCCGCGTCTGTTTTCTTTTCTTTTTAACACGATGACTGATCCCTGAAAGGTATCAGCCTATTGTGTTCTGTCACTGAGGCGCTGGATCAGTTCAACTTTAGATTTCAAGAACAAGTTGTAATGCAAATAAAAATTTGAGTATTTAAACACACGATTCAACCGTCAGCTTTATTATCCCCCGGCGAAACACTGAAATTCCATCGTTCAAGTCAAGCTCGCGTCGGAAAGGACAGCAGATTCTGAATGTGAATTACATGCTTATTACGGTAACACGTTATATGTGCCCTAGCACGAGCACGCAGAAGGGCACAGTTGATTTCCTGTGCGCAGTAGCTTACAAGAGATCGACATCTAAAGCGCGAGCGCTGGAGTAACACGAGCTGCACACGCTAGACATAAAGTCAGTTTGACGGGCTCTTCTTGTGGGTCAGCGCCACACGCAGTGACATTATACACTTCCCATTTTCTGAAGTGTGTCTATAGAAGCGAATAAAGTGGCGTTCGCGCGTTACGACCGAAGATATTTTGAGTCTTTTTGATATTTCGCGTTGGTAGTTTCTTGGCTTTCCCTTTGCATCTACAACAGATAGGCTATATAACAATACGCATGCCACGCGTATTTGGGGTCGCTTTGGTGATGCCATGCCCCGCAACCACAGCGGAGATGAGGTCGGCTCCGGCCTCTGGATGAACACTTCTCCCGGGCACCACGCCGAAAGTTACGGATTGGATAATGTGGAATGTGGTAATAGAATGAAGAACAATTGTTCACGGCCGGGGCACGACCTGTTGTCCGCATCTCATGCCGGCACAGGTGCGTCGGTAACGGAAAGAGACCGGGGGAAGCAGGGCGCTCGGCTGAGTCTGCTCGGGAAGCCTCTGGTGTACGGAGCGCAAAGCGGCCGGAGAAACGCGCGATACCGGAGGTTTCAGAACTACCTGTACAACGTGCTGGAGAGACCCAGATCATGGGCTTTTATCTACCACGCTTTTGTGTAAGTGCCGCGTTTCATGATATTGTGCTTGTGTGATATGGAAAGCGTTGCTTAATTTCTCAAAGTTTTTGGAAAATGTAACTTACCTGTTGCTTTTAAGGTTTTTGTCTGTTGCCACGTAAAGGAAACGTCCCTGGGATGTGGGATCAGTTTGATATAGGCCTTCAGAGAACAATTATGTGGAATGAAATAGTAAATTATACATTTATCTTAAGGAGAATATGATATTCGCCTTTAACTTAATATTGTGTAGCCTACTCTGCCTTTTATTTGGAGATGAGAACAGCAGAGCGTGTTCAACTGACAGACTACACAGAAAACATCACCGTATTAAAATGGTTGAATTTGTCTTTTAGGATTTGTGTAAATTTTCAGTCAACGCAGGAATTGTAGTCTACTGAAGAACCTGACATATAAATGTTCATTTAGCTAGAATAAGACTAATAGTTTGATGTGGTCTGATTGGAAAGCCTTGAAAGAGCTATTCATTTGCGTTAGACGCTGATGAGCACACTCAGTAGGGGCAAGCAGAGATACAAATATAGGAAACATTTTGAAAACAAACATTTTTAAGTTGTTCCAAATCTATGACTTTCTTTCTTGAACACAAAGAGAGACGTTTTATTACTCCAAAATACTTGGGATATCAAAACAGGTCTGGAATGACTAGAACACTAGATGATAAGCTTGCATCATGGAGTTTATCTTTATTTGGATTCAGTCAAGAGGAGGGTTTTTTTTTCATGTATGCTTTTTCAACTTAAAGGAGTAGTTCACTTTTAAACGTTCACTTTTTAAAAAACGTTTGCTGATAATTTACTTATACCCACACATGTCATCCAAGATGTCCATGTCTTTCTTTCTTCAGTCGAAAAGAAATTAAGGTTTTTGATGAAAACATTCCAGGATGTTCTCCATATAATGGACTTCAGTGGGAACCAAACGGTTCAAGGTCCAAATGAGAGTTTCAGTGCAGCTTCAAAGGGCTTTAAACAACACCAGACAATGAATAAGGGTCTTATCTAGCGAAACGATCGGTCATTTCAAAAATAAATAAAAAGTTTAAGTTTTATAAGCACAAATGCTCGCCTTCCTCTGTTCTGTGATAAGCGTTCGTGACTAATTCATCAAAATGAACAAATCTTTTTTCGATTTGAAGGGTCCTGGATAAGACCCTTATTCATTGTCTGGTGTTGTTTAAAGCCCTTTGAAGCTGTACTGAATCTAAACCTTGAACATTTGGACCTTGAACCATTTGATTCCCATAAAGTCCATTATATGGAATATCCTGGAATGTTTTCATCAAAAACCTTAATTTCTTTTCAACTAAAGAAAGAAAGACATGAACATCTTGGAGGACATGGGGGTGAGTAAATTATCAGCAAAAGTGACCCAGGTTTATGACACATTTTATGTCAAATGTCTTCTTCTAAAGAAATTTTCTGTTGATGTGAAAGGTGATTTTATGGCATGTGGTTTTGTGCAAATCTTGTGTCCATGCACAGCCTGCTGAAAGACAAGAACAGGCTTTAACACCTGCACGTGTTATCTAACACTTGTTTTCATTCCTTCATTGCTTTGTTTATTCGTGCAGTTGCTCAAAAATTCTCCCAAGTCCATTTGATTTTAGGATTTAATTTCATTTAGCGTTGCATTTTGTCCTCAACCTTTTATAAGGCTGTGAAGTTGAGACAGGTTACGTTACTGTTTTTTCGGTCTTGTTGTTGTGTGTTCCACAAGGATAAGGGCAAGTCCCAATTCATTCCTCACCAAGTGTTCTTTTCAAGCCCAAACACAGCACTCTTCGGATAATGATGGATAATAAGGAGGAGGTGTGTTACTGTATGTATGAGAGATAAGGCTTTTGCTAAAAAAAATTTATTATCGTCAGATTTTTTGCGATAAGGATTAATATATTGGTCTACATCTGGGAATATTTAGAGTAGTATTAATTATTTTTAAACTGACATCCTATTATTATTAAAGCTACACTGTGTGATTTTTACTCCCATCTAGCGGTGAAAAGGTATCTGATCATCCAGTGAATATTAGTTTCTGTTCCTCTCAATTCCGATTTCGTTTGAACTCCTACGGTGGCCAATGTAGTCCAAGATTAACATGGCTTCCAGTTCGAGCTCGTCCATGAGTGTTAACTCAAACGTAAACGCGAAAGGCAAAGCTTGAATTAACGGGCATGTCCCTCTTTGGCTAATGTATTTTCTAGATGGAGGGGCAACATGGCGACCGACATTAGAACCCCTTACCCGTATGTATTTTCAATGGCATATTATACACTCACGAGAATACTTTATTACTTGAACGAAGTAAATATACATTAATGAGCACATATATTTTTGAAAGAACTAAGTATTTTTAGCTAAGAATAAACTAAAAGAGTTACACAGTGCAGCTTAAAGCAGATATTTTAGTATCTTATGATATTATTTTCTCTCAGATCTATTTCGTGAATGGTTCACAAAAGATTATGTTGTCCTGTTGACATCAGTTTTATATAGCTATTTTTTTTTTTTTCAATTGATTTTACAAACAACTACAGAAATTGTAAGTGAAGTAATTTGTTGGTCCTGCATTTTTCTCTAGAATGCTTGCAAGTTTGTGTAAATTACAATATCATGTCAAAATGCAATGAACATGAAATATGTTTTGTCTCTAGGGTGAATCTGAATGTCAGTTAACTGTAAGCAAATTACAATATTAATTTAGAAGTATATTGAGCAGAAGCAAGAAGCCACTGTCACGGTGTGGCTCTGGCAGAGGAACGAGGAGACCGGAGTATCGGGAAGAACAAGGGTTTTTAATATATATATATATATATATATATATAAACAGGCAGGCAGACAGGAACAAAGGCGCCACCCGGGCTAACACCAAACATCAATAGACAACGACCGACCAAGACAGAGTAAAACTGAGGGAACTAAATACACAGATGAATCAGACATAATGAGGTGCAAACAGGTGAAACAGATGAAACAGGACGCTGAACGGGAGGCTGATGAGGGAGTGAGTTCAGGTGTGCAGACGAGAGGATCATGGCAAGTGTAGTGCTGGAGACGCAGACAGGATGGTGCAGACGAAGACTGTGACAGCCACACTGATGTATAAACTGTCTCTTTTTTATAACCCTCTCCTCTCACTGTTGTGCCGCACTCTTCATGAGACATCCCTTGGACAAAACTTAGGGGTGCGACTTTCCGGGAAGCCCAACTTTTACTCATGAAGCCCTTCTCCCATGCTACCAGCAGATTAGGTGCTTGGGTCTCAACCGACTAAATGCTCCAGTTATGCTATTGGTAGTTATAGGTGCATTTGAGCCCCACTGGATTATGTGTTTCATCACTAATAGATCACAGAGAGAGATAATTAATAATAATTAATATTAATTAAACCAAAACAGAATATAAAATGTTTCAACAGTTTGGGAACGCAAGCTCTGTCACGTCATTGCAACTCTGTGTTAAAAAATATTACATTACATCCGAATGGAATCATTTAAGTCGAATTTTTCCCAGAATTGTCACCTTCTTCCTTCAGCCCTGATGCTTTTCAGCAGATGCTTGGCCTCAAAGCCTCATAAAAGCGTGACACTTGAAGGTGATTGACAGCTGCTAGAAGAGAAAGAGTCAGCAGGCGTTTAAAAGGAAAGTGACAAAGGCCATGTTGCTCTTATTTATGTCAGTCAGGCAGAGAGCAGAGCCTTTTTTTTCAGGGGCTTTTAAAAATGGTGCTCATAATATCATAATATTATATTAGATAAATCTGTAAAAAAGAATGTGCAGAATTATTCTGCACTCGGCTGAGTGACATCATTTTCACATTGGTTAGAGAACATTCACACAGAACATGTTTTTCCATTCGAATGCACTTATACATCTTTTGTCTATGTAAACACGCACTTCCATAGACATCAGTTTGTATTGAACAAAATTATAAATATTTTTTGCTTGTACTTGTGTGTATTTGAATACTTAATGTACTTATGTGTTTGAAACCTAAAATAAACGTTATGTGGTTGAAAACCCTGAACAGTTGTGAAATATGAAAATGCTCAGTCAGCACCAGTTTTCCTTAGGTTATAAAATTAAACCTAAAAATAACCTACAGGGAACGTTCCCAGAACGTTCTTATTTGGTTCCCAAAAAAAAAATAATAATAACCAAAGAGGAACCATACGGGAACATTAGGGGAATGTTGGAACATTCTTTGTTTGCTGGGTTGAACTCTCGTCTCAGGCCTACATGGAAGAAAAGGAATAGTCGAATAAAGTTGTTATTTTTGTTGTTTTTTTAGCACAAAAAGTATTCTCGTCACTTGATAAACTTATAGTTGAGCCACTGTAGTCACATGGAATATTTAAACATTTTCTACAATGACTTTCTGGGCCGTCAAGTTTCAGTCCCTTAGGGTGCCTATGTGGTAGAGACCCAGCTCTCAAATTTAATCAAAAACATCTTCATTTTGTGTTCCGAAGATGAAAGAAAGTCTTATGGGGTTGGTACAGCATGGGGGTGAGTAATTAATGACTTAATTTTCATTTTTGGGTGAACTAACCCTTTAATAGTAAAGTTTACTCTATTCTTTGCCCAGTTCACCAGCCACTTACTTTCATGTCTCTGTACCTGCTGTACATTCAAAAGACTCTGATTCTATTTCAAAATCACAAGTTTGTGAATATTTAAAATAAAAAATAAATATAAATAAAACTGATACATCAGTTATTAAGCGCTATTGTGGTTAAGGTGTGTCAAGCTTGAGGTGTCTCAATGGAAATAGAAATGTGATACATGCTGACATAACGGTCCCCTTAAAATTCTCACCCAAGGGGCTCAGCTCCAATATTTTAAATGTGTGTTACTAAAGTCAAATGAAACACACCACTGCCATATTTGAGGTCTGCAGGTGGAGTTGTTATTTACCTCAAGTGGCTATACTGCTCTGTTTTGCTGTAACATTTTACCGTATACTCCCCCCCTCACACT